AGATCCAGATTTCACCCCAAGAGCAATTAAATTCTCAGCAACTAAAACCCATCTGACTCTTAAAGCCAGATTTCAACTATTATTCCAGAATCCTGTATCCCTATAATTACACTGATGCTCGCTCTGTATATACCCAAAGTACTGGATTTATTTCAGTAAAAATTAACAAAGCACAAAGACTCATATTGTTACCAAAGCCTACAGTAACAAGGAGTCAGAGGATTCTCTCTCTTTAGCCTTCTTCTAATATAGGGTCTTGTTACAACCTGATAAATGAGGGAACACGCAAAACAGTTTCCTGTCTCAACCTATTTGTCCAAATGAAATTGATTTAAAAGAAAAACAAAACAAAAACCACAAACACCACAACAACTTGTTCTCTAGACAGTATGAAAGAAAGAAGCCAAAGCTAGTGGAATATTTCCAATCTGAATTTTTACTTCTTGCAGACTATTATGCACTAGAATATCATAGTTTCTTTAAAAATGCACACACCTCAGAACAATACACACAACTGTATTAGCTATCCTATTCTTAACATAAATAAGAATTTTGACTTTCCAGAAATATTCAAAGCTTCACTCTGGATCAAGATATAGGAGTTTGTTTCTTATGTGTCTACTTAATACAAAGGACAGGAGAAAACAAATCAGTTCAAACCTTGACAACCACAAAAGAGCTTCATTAGCCATCAAGCAAAGGAGCAATCAGACTTCAGTTAGGATGCATATCTTAAGCTACATTGCTTGTATGCATTTTGAACATACTTCCAGACAAAAACTAATGTAAGCAAAAGTGTAACAAGGATGATACACTACAGTCCAATTTCTCGTTCTAGGAAACAGGAAAAGAAAACATTTGTTTCCTGCTTTCTGAAGTAAAATCACTTCAGTACTAAGCAGCTATTACAAAGATTGTTGTAGAAATCAGACATTCAGTCCTTTGGATGTGTAACTACCAGACTTCTACTGAGGGAATGCTAACCCTCTCAGCTGCTTACTGAACAAGCACAAGCAAGCAAAATACTAATACAGTCTTGCCCTCCAATGGAACTCATCTATAGGAACTAAGATCTCAATCTTGATTTCAGCCTGGCTCTACAAATCAAAGTTTTTGCTTAATGAAGACAGTTGCACTACAATCATGAGCACAATTTAAGTCTAGAAACACACAAACTGTGTAGATACATATTAACATTTGTTGGGGTTCTTTCTGTTTTGCTTTGTTAGTTTGGCTTTGATTTTTTTCCCCCTTTCTGTAATCAAACTGTTAATTTTGTTTGCCAGGCTTTTTTGGTTTTAAATAATTGTAATTTAAGATTTGATTGCAATTACTCAGTGGCAATGAAATGAAGAAACATTTTAATTATAACCCTTAACTTAGTCCCTGAGCTAAAGATAGCTAGTGACAGAATTGATGAAAGCCTGTATAAAAAACTAACCAAAACAAACAAAAAAAAGCCACTACCAAAAAAACCCACAAATAAAACACATCAGCTGTACCTCATGTTGTTGAGCAGATTTCTGCCATGAAACATTAAAGCAGCTCAGTGTTAACACTATGTAACTGAAACAGAGAACATGAGCAAACGGTACAGCTAAACATTAAGTGAGAATACATATTGACAAATATTGTCTATGTTAGTGATTTACAGAGCCATCACAATTGCTCTGCTAAGCATCAGTCTTCTCACACAGAATTAAGCAGAAATTGCATCAATGATTTAGTGCTCAGCAGCAAAGACCAGTTGTTGAAAGAAATACAAGGAATATCAATGAAATGAAACGAATGCTTGAAGACTTGAAAGGAGTTCAGTTCTTAGAATGTTAACCACTTGAGTTTTGCCTTCAAAACAGGAAATGAAGCAAAAGTAGGGACAGCGGAGTAAGTTGTTTTCTGTTAATACACACAAAAAAATTTCACCCTGACAAGGTCTCAAAAAAAACCCCATGCATGTCCTACCTATCTGTAAGTCCCTATGACATCATCTTATGAGAGGTTATTTAGATTTGTATAACTTTCAAGCCTCCAACACTGGATTCTGCATTTTCTCCATAGCTGTTGGGTCAGTTAATGAAGAACAAAAGGACTGTCCTAAAAGAGGCCAAATTTATTTTATTTTGCTACACACACCATGTCCTTAAAACCAAGCTCTACTGAGAACAAAGATACCTGCTTTTCTTCTCCCCCCCCCAAAAAAAAGAACAAAAAGATTGAGTAGCCAGCAAGCTCTTTCCAATGTCTTCCTATTCTTGCCACTCCAGAAGCCTAGTTAAGATGCCCTCTGCAGAAGTTGCCTTTTCAAAGATGATCAAAACATTTCTAATCTAAGATTACCCAGCAAGAGCTGCACTGCCATCTATGGAAAAATTTAGGAAAAACATTTAATATTTGTTGATATTAAGAACAATACAGCTTAAAAGACTAATACCACAATAGGATAGAAATAAGAAAAAGGTGTTTTGTGCACTAACTGATACTAATTACTCACCATGTAGTTACTCAAATTGTTATTCAGCTACATTGCTTCTACTCACTCCAGCCTGATGCCATGGAAGCTCTATAACCAACATTTTGCAGATTTCCCTAGAAACATTAATTCCAAGGGGCAGTCAGTCTGGCATTAGCTCAAGCACTCAAAATTCTTAAATCTGATGCTTATCAACTGGATTTTGACAGATACTAACTGCTTTTACCCTCAACTCACTAGAAGATAGAAACCACATAATTTGATCACATATCTCCCGGCAATCAAAGCATCTGATGTGTTGATTATTCTCAATGCCTTCATTTCTTTTTTTTTTTAAACCTGTCTTTATACTATTGCATGTAGATAAAAGAAAAACAAGGAATAAAAAGCTTACATTAACCTACCCAAGAATATAATTCTTCAGAAACAATGAATAACTACATCAGAAATTCCTCTGCATCTTCAGATTAATATAATTGTTCAATCTTTAGGCTAAAGAAATCAAATGTATCATGCTTTCTAACAAAACCAACATGCACAGGAAAAAAAAACAAAACAAAAACCCAACCACCACTGAAAGCCAATTCTACAAATATTTCAGAGCTACAATTTCCCCTCAAAACCCAACCTGACTGAAAATACACTTCTGCCTTACAAAAATAAAATATTATTGACGTTTCTCTCATTTAAGATAAAAACAGTAAACACTGTAATTATGAAATAGCACTAACAGGATACAAACTAAAATGGAGAGAAAACACACATGACTTTCTAGATTCAAGAGTAAGTGTTAAAACCTCCTCCTTTCTCCACTTCCTCAAAACCTAGCAAGTTCATTCCTCAATTTTTAAACCCTCTCTAAAAAGTTAATTACTTTCAGTAGAGGGAGAAATAAACAAAAGAAGTGAACAAAAACATCAAAAGCTTCTAATGTACCTTTGCTCCACAAGGCTTGCAATAGCTTCTGTCAATCAGAACATTATCAGTTCACACATATGCACAAATTGATACATGGGGGTCATATGTATCAAAACCCTTGACACATAGTCCAAAATATTGGAAACCAGTGTCTTTTACTTGTTTGACAAATTACACTGTATGTATCAAAATATTTATACTTAACATTTTTCAAGAGCAAATTTTAAAAACTTCTCTTTTTTCCTGGCATGTACATGCATCTGCAGAAAGGGTGTTTGTTTTTGCAGCAGCCTACATTAACTTTTTTGTCGCCTATAAACAAACATCAATAAAACTACAAAACTTATACTGCAAAAGTCTCAAACTGCTTTTCCTAGCTGGCCACAGTTATGACTAAAAGTTAATAACCACTTCTAGACTTTAAGCACAACCTCCCAACATCATTATTTAAAACAGAAAGCAAACCATATCACAAGTAGCTGAAAAAAGAACAGTTATTTGTATGCAGTTACACATAAAAATACAATTACATAGCTATGCCAAATTTTCAGGAGAAACCTCTGCTGTTCTGCTCTTGGGCTACAGCAGACAACCCAACTAAAAGTACAAATCAAAGTCTAAGCGGGTGCCACAAACCCTGTCCATGTCCAAAACTACATTACTAAATTCACAGTGGTGTCACAGCATCTAACACACTTAAAACACATGAAGCATGACATTGATGACACTGAATTTTTTTTGTTAGAAGCTCCAATTTTTAATATCATGTTACTAAAATATGAGTTGCTTCATTCAAAAGTCTGTTCAGATAAAGGAATACAAACAGTGAAAAGCAACGAGACAGACAGACAGACAGTGTTTTCCTCAAGCCCACTGAAATCCCAAAGTTGGCTCTCTGACCTCAGCCGGAGGGTCACAGCATTGCAACAACTCTCCATCCTTTCTTCAGGCTGAATTCTGAATTAGTCTTCAGACCGATTTCTTACAGATCTGTTATAACTTTAGCACTAAGAAAAAGGTTGTTATGCATCTTGTGTACCACATTTGAGACATACAAAGAGTCCTGCTATACAAGTCAGGTACCTACCTTAAAGATTCTATGCTTGAACAAACTCAGAAATCAAAATAAACTTCAGATCAGAATGGTCCTATACATATACAGTATACAAACAAGATGATGCAAGAAGTCAGACAGGCGATACTTATTTTCTTGCTTTTTCACTCCTAAACATAGAGATTGGTAGGAGATATTTAACCTATCATTTGCAGAAATTCCTTCCTTTATTATTTGTGAGCACTACCATGAGATTGCATAAGGATGGTGCTGTTCTGTCCCAACTTGAGAATAAGGAAAACAAAGAAAGTATGTTAATAGCCTACTTGAGGTCACTTGTCCAGGAACAGGACTTCCTACATAAGAAGCTCCAAAAAGCTATCAACTACAGATGAAAGAAGAAACAATTATGAAGTCAAAAAAAAAAAAAACAAAAAAAAAAACAAACCCACAAAACAAAACAAAAACCACGCCACATCTTAATTCTGTTTTCAAAATAGACTTAAGCAATAAACTCAAAATACTACAGTTATGCAAGTTACACATATAAATACTTACTATGCTGTTCATTTCTGAAGATTCGTAACTTCCACATGGATGGACACTTCCAATAGGTTCCAACCCTTCTTCATCCCACATATACGTGCCATCAGAGCTATCAGATGGAGAAAGCTCAAAAGAGGATCCAGCTCTGTAATTCATCTCTGGAGAAATCACATTCTCGGCAGTATGCTTTGTGCTTTCACTGTTGTCATCCACTGCTTAGAGAAAACAGGAATAGTTGAGATTCCAAAATCAATCCAATATTTCAAAAATAAATATTAAGATATGTATTACCAGTACTTTTCTGTAACTGTACTGTAACAGAACATCTGAAAGCGTTCTACAGTATTGTTCACTCATGCTAGAGGGGAAAAAAGGCTTAAGCTGATTTGGTAGCTACAACTAAGTATCCTTCCAACCTACATCTTTCCTGGCCTTTTACATTACACTAATTCACCCATCATGAAAGCTACTTTCTAGAATTCAGTATGTTTTTAACATATTAGAAGGTGGGTCCAAAAGTATATCTTTTGGATCCAATCTTTCAACTGTAACTTCTCTCAAAACAAGTATGTGAGAAGCCCATCATTGTTTTTAAAATGTGCCTTTTAAAAACATCTTCTGTCTCTTCAATTAATTTTTAAAGAATTAATACAGCATGCATGAGAGGGGAGGGTGGGGGAAGAAAAAGTGACATTGCTATTTAAAATTTAACTGATTTAATTAGACACACTACACTTATTCCCACTACTTAGAAGCATTACAGCTGTTCTCTGCCTACAGAGGCAGAAGGGAGAGAAGAAATTTTCTTAAAAGATCACCAGTCCAGAGAAATGAATCACAAAGCAATGATATGAAGAACCCCACAACCATACCACAAGCGTATAGTTAAAGGAGGTATCTTTCATTCTTATCCCATAGAAAAAGAGCTCTTCGAAGTCATGCTTGGGAAAGAGAACTATCATGGACAAAAGGCACTGTAAGAAAACAAATGGGCCAGCATAGAGCAAAGTTCCATTCTGAAACAACTCACAAGCAATGAGCAATTATATAAAACAACTTAATTACAGTTACAGGATCTTGCTTTAGTACCTAAAATTTCAAACAGAACAGAACATAAAGTATTTACCAGACATATTTATATCAAGCCACTCCTCGGCATTACAGCAAGATCCTCCACTTTCCTTGAGAGAAATGAATGGTTCGATTGACGTTGTATTCCCATGATCTAATTCTTGAAGGCAGTTCTCCTTTTGCTGTATTTGTATAGTTCTGTTTGGGTCTTCTATATCTATGAAATCATCACTGAAGTCTTCACTCAAATCAATTTTTTCAGAGGATGACAAAGAAGATATAGATATCTCATCTCCATCATCGCTCATACACATGACTTTTGACCCATGTTTTCCCATACTTTCATGCAAACCCTCATCAGATCCTGTTCTTTGAGTATTGCTCTCTATAACACTGTTTTTCTCGATTGTTCTATTAATATTTGTTGCAATTTCAGAGTTCTCCATGATGCACGTGTCAGGAATTGTACTTTTGTTGCTATCAATATTTCCAGCAAAACGCTGCCGGGTAGGCTTCAGCAGAGAAGGCCGACTTAATCTGTATCCAAAAGAAGGTGCTGACCCAGATCCATTTGATAGTGGGGGCTTCTTTGAACAAGGAGCCGACATACCAGAGTAGGGTCTGGCAAATCCATACTTCATAGGTTCATTTCCATTAGGTACATCCAACTGACATGCATTTCTTGATAACAAAGTTGACCTCTGAGATGTCCTGGCAGCTAGATTTTGAGTATGATAAGGCCTTGTAAGATCCACAGCTTTATTAAAAGAATGTGACCTGGTTAAAGATGCAGTGGGAAGGAAAGAATTCTGAATGGAATGTGAAAAACTTTGTGATCTTACCATCTTTTCACAGGAAAAAGCCTTGCTGTTGTCTGTAGATTGTGCCAAGCCTTCTCCTGATTTTGTCCTTGTGGAACTGGAATTAGCTCTAGGTCTCTGCAAACCTACCACCGTCCTATTTCCATAAAATCCATTTAAATGGGATTTTGGAGCATTGAGTCCAGAATACGAGGTCCTTCCAGACAGGGTTCCTTTGGCAAATTTTGCTGAACTAGAGAGTCCAGGCAAAGACTTTGGGTTTAATTCCTCAGTAGAAGATACAAACATACTGGTTTGTTTTGCTGCTTTTGATGTAACCGAAGGAGTACTGTTCAAACCCACCCTGAGCACATCATTACCCAATGCTCCTTGAGATTGAGAATACCTGTCAGAATCAATTAATTTTTCATTACAGTTATTTTTTGGGTTGGTGTCTCTCCCATTTTGATCATGAGGTTGATATTTATTTGACTTTTTCCAGTTGAAAGAAAAGGAAGACATGCGAACAGTGCCATTGTGCTTGCTGAAACTTTTGCCACCATTATTCCCTGCTAAACTAACAGCTGTCCCGTTTGGCATAGGTTGCAAAACACTTCCTAAAGTTTTCGTTCCATATTTCGGTAGCCTGGAAACCAAGGATGGCCTGATTTGATTTTTTTCTTCCATGAGCTATGGGGTACATTGGTCCTTAAAGGGTGCTTGAATCTAAGGAAAAGAAGAAAAAAAAGAAAACAACAAAATCAGACCTGAATCAACTACACATTAAACAACATAATTTTATATACATTTGCATCTATACATTTACTACATTCCTGTGACTAACTCTACTATGATGATACAAAGTAACCCATGCAAATTTTTGAGAACTCCAGAGGAATACCCATCACCAGCAGTTAGTTGGCAGTAATTATGTTATCCAGGTCACACCTACCCCCGAACTTTCATTCATTTTTCAAAAGAGGCTGGGTTTGTTGTTTGTTTGGGGGTTTTTTTTTCCCCATTTATCTATTTGGAGCAGTAAACCGAATTTTCCAACTGTTATGATTATTAAATTACATACTTTGAATTTTAAAAAAATCCTACAAATAGAACATAGCACAAACCTGTGGCCAGCAATATAAAGCTGCAAAAACTATAATCTAAAATCCGACGAAGAGTTAATTCTTTTTTTTTTTTTCCCAGTTTCCCCAATGTCTGTGGTATGAGATACAAAAATGATCATCCACCCTCACCACAGCATTTTTTTCCCTGTTTATTGATGTCCTAAATTCAAGATGAACATTCCTAGGTACCTTATCCTCTTTGAATGGAAACTATAGTCTATTTTGGTCATTATCTTATTCATATACAAACTTCAGGTACAGGGCAACAGTTGCATTAGATCAGTGCATGTGAATTCAAAAGTTCTACTTCTGTGCACCAATACATGAAAACATCACCCTAGCTACAAGAGTATGAAATAAGGCAGGCAGCAATCACAGCATGCACACGCTCCCTTGTACCTTGAATTTCACTCCCATAAACCTGATTAGGAGTACAGAGACTCCACTACATCTTTTAACGAAGATCTCAACTTACAGTCATGTCATTTTGGTCTATTTTGTATCATTTTATAAAGCCATATCTGCTTTACAGACATATCTTTTGCTTTCCTTTGTTATACTGCTTTTTGTTTCTTCCACCCTCATCTACGTATCCATCCTACTATTTGGACAATGTCTGTACCACCCCTTTGTACAGTACTTAGTCTGTTGTTTTGCCTAGGTATACAATACAAACAACTTGTCTAAATGCTATTATTAAGATTTGCAATTCAGATAAGGCCTTGAGAAGCCTTCAAGTTTCAATGTTGCATCTTAAGACAAGTTTTGTGTTAAATTCTCTATTTGCAAGATGAGGTTTCTGGTTTTTTTTTCAAGACACTTGTAAAAGAATATTGCTTTTGCTAGCCTAGACTTGATGTTTTCATCAGTTCCACTTGCTGGTCTTACAATAGTGTAAAGACACAGTCATTCATACATTATTCCCTGAAACTATTATCCATGTTTCTCTTTTCACAGACCAACATACAGCTGGCAGGACTGGGGAAAAAAAAAAAAAATAAATAAATTTAAACCACAACAATCATGATGAGAATCAACAGACAGCAAGTAACGTTATACTTATTCAAGGTACAGAAGATATCTTTCGTAACAGCAAGCATTACCTTAAAGTGAGTCACTCCCCAAGCTGCAAGACCTCACTAAGTAACACTTAAGATAGAAATCAAAGTGGCCTTAAATTCATGCAAACTGAAGTACCCTTAGGATTTTGAAAATGAATAGGATGCCCCAGAGCTGTATTTCTGTAAGTAGATCTACATTAAAAAGATACGAAGAGTAACACAGTTAGACACATGGCTATTTAGGGACTCCTAACATAATGAAAATATCAGAATCCACATACTACAACTGGAGTGCATTTCCATTTAGAAACACACAAATCTAGTTTCCAAAAAATTCTTGCACATCGAAGGCACCCTCACCTAAGTGTACAAAGCAGCACACAAGTATTCGACACACACACCCTGCAACAACAAATCATTTAACTCCTTACATATAAAGTGCCTGTACGTGGATTTAGGTGTCTATTGTTTAGGTGTCTGTGAGAACACTATAAGGAAAATCATCTACTAAAAACAGCATTCACAGCAACTCAGTCATGTATTCGTATCTATAAAAAAGAAACTTGCCTACAGTGTGCCTGTATACCTTGCAAATGAAAAATCATTATGCTTTAATATCAAATGTCAACAAAGATATTTGTCAAATATATGCAGTAAAGGCAATAAAGTCGTTCGTTTTTATTAAAACAAACAAACCCTCCATGCATTAAAAATGGTCTTTTAACATTAAGAAGAATTCATTCAAAACAAGCATTATACTGGGTATACATCAAAAGATATCCCAATTCTAACAAAAATCTTCAAGTCTCAAAGCAATCTTCCAAATTAAAAAAAAGTTAAATTAAAAAGCTGCTAATTTAACTATCATGCTTTATGGATAATTCCCATTTCACATCTGTCTACCATCTCTTAGGTGACTGCAAAATTTAAATGAGGCCATTTAATTAGATTACTTTAATCCTCCACCAAGTGCTGCAAATTGAACTTGAAAAGAAGACCTTCCAGTTCTCTAGGAAGGGTGCTTGCTCATTTATCCTTGATTAGGGAA